TTACACGATCAAAGATAAGATATGCGAATTAAATGTTATATCTTAATGTTGGAATCTAAAAATACGAGTAAAAATACGCTAAATCAAGATTATAACATTGCAGTTAAATATTCTGAAAATTAAAAATATCACAATAAAAGCTTTGCCAAATTACCTGACATTCATAGATTCCGGCATCGTCCAAAGTTACTGTGCGTATTGTGAGTTGCCAATCGGTGCTTGAATGCCTGACGACAAATCTCTTGTCAATTGAGTGTGTGCTGGTACCGACTGTTAACAACTGTCTATCCCTGCGTCTCACCCACGTGATCTATAACAAAAAAAACAAGAAGCAATTAATACGTATAAGCTTTTAAATTAGTATAATTTTACAGGAATATTACAGGACTGTCAGATCTTTTATTTTTAAAAAAGCAATTATACGATTATAGTTGCAAGACTTGGATAATGAAAACTATCTATATGCATAGGTATACATAATGTTTGAAAGCATTTAGGCTATTTACAGTAACAATATATGGAAACAAATATGTACGTCAGGCAATGAGAGAGAAACCTCGATGCACATCGAATATCAATTATCATGGCCATTAGAGCACCCTAATTTCAAGGTAATTTTCGTTCCCCAGAGAGCAGACCACAAAACTATGCTCAATAGCGAAATGCAAATAGCGGTTACATACCGTATTTTAATTATGTAGCGATACAATTAATTCTGCGCCATTTTTTAACACAACCGAAGAGAATCAATTTATTTAATTATTCACGTAAACCCAAAATCTGTTAAATCATTGAAATATAAAAGAGAGTTGATTTGCAAACATATTATTATCTATAATTATAACCATTTTAATCTTAATACGAGTGTTCTTAAGCATTGAAAAATTCCTTATTGAAAACTTTTTTTACAGGAAAAGAATATCCTTAAAGAAAGCTCTTAAAATATTTTTTACGTTAATAATAAATTTTTCTCTCATTCAACATCTATCAATGTATGTATTACGAGGAACTACGTTTCTTGAACGTAACAACGAAGATGCCTGTTAACCAATAGCTCTCGGTGAAATTTAATTATTTCCAATTAGAAAGTTCGTCGTTACGAAGCCTCCTCCTAAATTTCGATCCGGTGGATCAGAGACGTCACGTTGCCAAACCAATCATTTTTTCTATCCGAATCCCCAGTCGGGACATACTCCATCGTAAACGTCTTAGTACTTCCAGGCAGAAACATAATTAAGCCGATTCCACGTAATACATCCTGGGGAAACCAATTCCCAAGGATATGACATTTCTGGTAACGCTAAACCCGGTAATCCCGAGTACTTGCTGTAATCCTGGATCTCACCACGAAAAGGACCTATCTACGGCGCACCGACGTGCACGGTGTGTATGTGTGCGCGCGCGTGTTTGCTTGCACGTCGCTAGTCTTTGACTGGTGAAAGTTATCGGGTAGTAGAGTTTGCTTCAATCGGCGCGAAGTTACGAGAACTTCGCCAGTGTCTACGCGAACAGTCGGAAGGACAAAGATCCCCCCCAATGTCCGTCTTTCGGTTTCAACTAATTCCAGATACGGTTATACACACACATACGGATTGTTAGGACGAACGATGTTCCTGTCTTGCTGCCGAGTACGTGAACTTCATTGCTTGAGATTACTTGCGTAGCCAATTAAGGGGGTTACTTAGAAACATTAAGAGGTCAAAGCAACCCAGTTGCGCTAAAACGACTAAAGCTTTCAAGCGAAACTAATGAACATTATGACATATGTATATTACACGTGGACATCCCCATCTAAATTATCCCAGGAATTACAAGTAGTGATACCCCTTCTAAATATTTTTAGCTTGAACGTACGAAAAGATACTGCGGTATATTCGCCTCAACGAGGGAAACTGTTGAAGTATGTGCGCGCGGCGGGCCTATTTGACTTTCCAGCGGAAAGGGTTAAAAGTTTGTACGAGGCGAGCGAAAAGCCGGGTGTAGGTCCGCCAAAGGATTAAAACCAATTAAAACTTGGAACGAAATGCAAATTGGAGTAGCATGTCCGATCCGTGTCGGGCCTCCTCCATACTTAATTTCCTCTTACGTTATCTTGCCTGACTCGATCATCATCATCAGTCTTGTTAGACGCGGGTTAGGTAACCGATGGCACCAGAATTCCCGCGGGAAGCTATTAAGCCGATGTAGGGATTGCTAGCCTAAGCGGGAAAGACTTTGTACAGCGGCAAGTAAATGGCATCTACACGCGCGGAAAGTGCATGGCACACACGCGGCACACAAGCCGAGAGCTGACACCGCCGTGGGACGCTTAATTGGGAAATACCCCGATTACAGCATACCAAGCTACCCATGCCGACACATTCTTTATTCCGTCGGCCGGGAATTGCCATCTGCGATCGGAAATCTGTGCCGTTGCATACCAGACATCTCGAAAAAGCGAATAGCAGGAAGCGTGACGACAAAAACTGCGTTTAAACGCGCGATATTACAGAATCACGGTGCTTGAAGCGCGCGTTAAATCATAATGAAATAATAATTCGAAGAATTTCTATGAAAATGCTTGTCGCTCGATTAAAAAGAAAGGGGAATAATTTTTGCAGTGATAAGAATATTTCCACTCGCAATGAAGCCGCGGTAACGGCAGGAAGGAAATTAAAGGCCGCCCCGTTCCTATCGCTACTGCACTCTCGCGATCGCTTTCAACTCTTGCTCGATAGCAAGCATCGGGATTGCTACCGATAAGGAACACCGAAAGTTCATTCGTTTATCAAACGAACCATTTTAAAAGTATTCTTGTAATGAGAAAAGTTCCTTCACCTATCCGCCCCCGCGCGAGAATCAAGCCAACCGCTACACAGCCGCGCTCTATACGTGTCACAACCTCGGGAACTTAGAGCTACGTAGAGGCGACGGTATTACTTACAAGATCGAAGAGAACTGGAGGTGAAACTCCTCTCTTGATATTAAAGATAATTTAGTTCTGACAATTCACATATTATACCTTCCGTGGCGATCACTAATAGAAATGATACATTTCCTTTTTTTTTTAATGTTACAATTTAATTTTATCAGTCGAATATTTTCATATAAAGATAAGAACATAAACTATCGCTTGGAATAAAAATATTCGTAGAACATGTGTCTTCCTTTTTTTAATCAAGGTATTTAAATAATTTATATCAAGCTTAAGTTATCAGAAGTACTGGATATTTCATTATAAAACATATACCAAGTCATTTACTTTTATTGATTAACTTAATTTTTATCGCGAAGAGATGTGGGCATTTAAAGGCAACTCTTGCATGAAGTTAGTTTACAACAAAAATTGATTTTCTTGTGAACTTGAAGTGACAGTGAATTTGCGCATTGATTATAGTTTAACAAGAGAGAACACACTATCGAGGTTTAGTTTGAAAACAATTATAATCGATATGTCGATTTTGATGTATTGAGATGTAAAAGTGTGTTATAGTCAATTGCTGTGCATCGCTCAATCACTGTATCTATTACTTTATTTAATCAAATATTGATGTTATGATTTTAGGAGTGATTGACGTTAGCCAATCACACAGAGAATTTCTGCGCACGATGCTTTCGATAACAATTTGAATCTAACACTTTAAACATTCAATCAAATAAAGATCTATTGATTCAAATAAATAAACGACATACATGCCGCACAATTTCGTTATTTCGAGTTTAATAAGAAATCGCAGCTATCACTAAATAATGTAACACGTATAATATATTTACGTTACATTAGCTTTGCAAATGAATATTCCATATGTATATTGATGTGAAAGCATTAAAACGCTTAATCTATTTTTCATCATTTCCGTGATATCGATCCCATCCGTGCCATCCAATCTGATCTACCTGTTCGTGATTATCAATCGCGTTTCACCGCGATACATTTCATTCAGTTTGCACGTAGAAAGACTCTTTTGAAACGTATTTTCTCGATTCGGTGTAAAACAAATTATATCACACGCACGGGAATCGAGGCGAAGACCGAATGAAGCGGAAGCCGAAGTATCCGCAAAGCGGATACTTTGCGGTATCGAATCCTCCGGAAGAACGAGCTCTCGAATCCGCCCATTTCACTAATGGTATCTTGCCTCAAACCAGCAAAAAAAAACTCATGTTATCCCCGCAAAACGGGAAAAAACACGTATAATTTCACAAACGATGAGGCGAGAAGGTGTTCGGGTACTTTTAGAGGCGGGAATTTAATGTTTCAATATGTCTACGAAGGAATTCATCGCTCGAATCTTTTCATTTCCGGTAATTCCCCATTCCGCCGAACTCTCATTCGCTCCATCTACGTTCTCAAAGGGAGAGAGCGCCGCCGCACTCTATCCCTCCGTATCTCACCACCCGGATATCCTCTATTATACCCTCGCCCGTCTTATCCCACGATTCATCGTAGCCGAAGACGTTCCTCGAGGAAGCACTCCACTTTGGAAGTAACCCATACGCATATTCATTTCTTCGTCGAGGATGATGTTGAGGAAGAGCACGCGGGTACAAAACGTCGACTCCTTCGTAACACTTGGACGGGTACCCGCGCGTCCTTTACCGCCTAGCTGTTTGACATTTATCGCGTGATTTACCGTAGGTCAACGTTCTCTCCCTCGCGGCGTTTCCGAGTCGAGCAGGTAATCTTTCCGACGGTTACCATTACAGATATACCACACGTTACGTTATCGCGCAACGTTGACGCATTTCCTGGATGAGATAAGTGCATTACGCCCGATATGAGTAGGTCTTGGCAGAATAAATTAATCGCATTATACGCACAGTCGCCATATAATGTTACGCGTCAAATTGAGAGCCAAACTCGTAGGATCGAGCGCTATGCTTTGCATAATTCGCACTTGACTTCTCGAGCATGAATCGCGGCCCGCGGGGAATAATGATTAATTACCGCGCGGAAAGCATACTTAAGACGTCCGGCCTCCGCAGGTTCCATCCGGATCGCGAATCCTTCCGCGACGAAACAAATAGCCTTATTGTGCTTCTCGAGCAGCCGGTACCATCGGGTGTAACTCGACTTCCCGAGTCTCAATTTACGTTAGAGCGAAAATTTCTCTGAATATATACGTCCGTACGAACTGCCGTAAAAAGAAACGTTTGATATCTCTCTCAGGAGTTTCTCCTGGATTTAAAATAACACCGGATACTTGAGAGAATACGGCGAATATAAGAAGCTGGGTACAAGAACGGCTTTGAATATTTCCGCCGCTCAACTTTTGCGCGAAACTTTTTCGGCGCATTCCGAAGAAAAGATAAATGATGTTTTAAACTGAAGAATCCCGGAGCTCGTTGATAAAACGCGAAAAGAAGTCTGCCGATAATTTACACACGGTAATACGATATCTTATAAGTAGAAAATACGCGCAGGAATTTGTACTGTGTCTCATCCTTAAAATAGTGGATATCGAAACGCGTGTAATAGAAGATTTTATAAGAAACTTCTTGCTATTAAAAAAATATTTTTAGAATGAAAACATTCAATGGAAGAATTCGTGCGATAAATCTAATGATATTACATATTATATTTCTTATTTATATCTATGGATTTGTATATCTATAGATTTATCATTTATTTACATATCTAATGCTATTATCTCGAAGTAAAATATATTAATTTATAACGCATAATTAAGGAACCTATAATTAAGAAAATGTAATAATGATTCAGCGTAATAATTAGGTTAAATTGGAAGTAGATAATTAGACATGGTTCTCAATTCAGGAATCAATTCATCCTTTAAACTCAATTTACTAGTCATTATTACATACCATATTTTAATAAATAATACTTTAGTTTAGACAGATACCATTTATTCATCGTTTGAACAAATTTTACGACGCCTATATCTGGTTATCACTATATGAATACACGACATGTTACTTCGTCGCAAAAAGGATAAACTTCCGTACGACGGCAGTTACATAGACAAGATGTAATGCACTTTTTCCCCTCCCTTTCTTCAACCCCGCCCCTTTTGCCACCCGCGATAGCGAGGCACTTTTTATTTGTTTTGGCCTTAGCCGCGGCATAAAGAAGCCTTGGGGCAGCCTTATTTCTTGTTTCTGTATTTCTGTAGTACACAAGACGCGCATGAATTCATCTTTTATTCATGGTTGACGACGACGCGCGGGATTCGTCGAGGTTATATGCGGTTCGTGACAGGGAGTTTTGCATAAGTGGCCTTAGATTTTGCAACTTTTGTATCGTCCAGAACAAAAATCGCGCCAGCGAGCGATCGGTCCGATGCAGCGAAAAACGATAAATAAACATATCAATTTTTCAAACTGTTATAGGAAAACATCTCAAGCTCACAGTTCTGATTTTCTGAAATTTTCATAAAATTAAAGCTACGGTTTTTTTTATTTAACTGTAAAATATGGTACTATTTATCAATATTTATTTATTGACAAAGCGAAGAAATTCTTAATTGAAAATGTCGACAGTTTTAATGAAGAGTACATCCGTAACGAGATTTAATTACTCTATCCAGGAATTTACCATTTATATATTTATTATAATTTATTACTTATATATTCATTTTAGATAAATTTATTTGGTTTATATTCATTATGGATAAATTTTGCTTTCAGTTACCTCTTCCGCAAAATCAACTTGCCTAACAAACAACAAATTATTTATTTCATATAAATAATAAGCACTAAATCAAGTTCAATTTGCTAAAATTTTACTCGATTAAGATATAAATGCATTTCAATAATTTAATCAAGGGTACTTCCTTTTCGTGCAATTATGCGCTTATTGGAAACGAAGTTTTGTGAAGAAAATGGATGTTAAAAACATAAATCGCTTTGCTGCCGTTAAATTTGTACATAACTCTGGTAAAATGCGTGAAGTGGCAAGAAACCTGGAATACTCTCGCTGTAAGTAAATTACGAGCTGAAGTCTTTACTCTTCGTACCCAGCGGAGCTGTAAAATCTAGAAATCAAAGGAAGAAGAGCAAACCCTCCGTGGACTTCGTATAAACATGCCGTATCCCCCGAGAGCGTTCCCAAGTTTTCATGCCCGTTTATGGCGGTTACGGCCTTCAGCATTGACACGTAGCGCGTTATTGATTTGTTTCCGACTATTGAAACGCTATTTCAATTTATGTCAAAGCGAGCATCTGTTCTGTTTAGAAAAGAAGCCTACAGAACTCAAAAGAGAATCCCCGTTTTTCCGTAAAAGTATAATTTATTAAATGCCCAAGGAAGAGATGCTGCAGGATCATGTTTATAAATGCGAAAACCACCGAAGGAATGATAATGCGAAGAGTTTTTATTTAAAAATGTCTGTTTTAATGAAAAGTACATCCGTAACGAGATTTGATCACTATCGAGGAATTTGTCGTTTTATTTAAAGACGATAGCCTATAACTTTTGACATACTCCGTATGACGGCTCCACACCAAATATGACAGTTTTATACATATGTATAGTCCGTTTTCAAACGATACGAAACAGGTGTGTTGGAAAATGCGCGTTTAAAGTCGGCTTACGTCTCGCGCGATGTTGTTGGCACCGGGAAACCCGTCGGAATTTCATGGAAACGTGCGTCGCCTGTCGCACAGAGAGAATCGTCTGTCGACTCTCGGAATTCCATTCCGATTTCTAAAGTATACCCAGCCAGCGAGTATCGAGAGAGGAATGTTTCCACCATCTCGATATCGCGTATGCACATAACGCGGATTGCCCTTTCGTTCCTTCTTCACCCCTTTTTTCCGGACGGGGACAGAAAAAAAGAGAAAATACAGTTTCACGCGGCATCTGGCGCGTCCTTGGTTTAATGTTGAAACCCGCTAAAATATTCTAAAATATTCCCGAGTGAACTTCTCGGCTTCGCGAGGGCATGGCAGAGGCAAGCGCGTAACAGGCATCTGGTATAACAGCGCGGAATTCGGCATTGTTCACGAGAGAATACATTCCAAATACTGAATCGACCGACGAGATGCGAGGTTTGGCGGGGGTGTAATCCCCCATTTCCCACGGAGAAAAGCCGAGTTAATGTGGACGTCAAGAGGCGCGAGGGAGATGCGAGAATTCGGATGGAGTCCTAAAAGGAACACTTCTAACTCGTGTGGTGAGCCATGGACATTGATTTTTTTAAAGTGTTGTTTGGGTCAATCAATACTTCACGTTCATCGTTACCGAAATACCGAGTCCGATATGAGTGAAAATAATTCGGGATGAAGCACGAATGCAGATGCGTACGCCATTCACGCAGATTGTCCGTTGATTTTTCTCGTGGCACTCTAAGTAAGACAAAGAGCATACGCTATGCCGAAGTACCACACCGCTGTAGACCGTAAAACTGGGGCGGCAATTTGCTGGACCGACGGCTGCAGCATTAAAGTACATAGCGAGGGTCGCAGGCAAAAAAAGAGCGAGGGAGAGAGAGAGAGAGCGAGAGAGAGAGAGCAAACAGCCCGCAACTCACGAGCAAAAATACCATATCGACCTATCATTTATACCTCCAGCATGGCGCATCGCGTTCGTTTCCGCTTTCAACACCGCAGGCCGTATATAGGACGCACATGTTTGCGTGGTTACGCAGAATCTATATGTCCATAAGGAATAGAGTATCATACATGTCTGTGCTTTCAATCGCGAACTCGACAAATCAAAGAAACCTGAGATCCATAAAGAGTTATTAAAACGCGCTACGTTAAGCCCGTTTATAAAGATAAATGTATGAGATTTTTTCATTTCTTGTACTTTTACTGCAACAAAAAAATTTTAACATCTTCACAATAGAATCAGTTTTTTCACAAAGTTAAAAGAATATATTGTTTTATTTGATACCATACTTTGACAAAAATAATTCTTTTTTTCAAAGAACGGTGCGTAATTCTTCATTGAACAGACCCCTGGACGCGATGTGTGGAGATATATCAACGTCATCACGTGCGATAAATGGAAATTAGTCACGCATGTCGTTGTCTTGGCGTGTTGCGTAATTCATTTTGTTCTTTTTTGACGAAGCACCAAGCGATGAAGATAAAACGCGTCTGAAAATATTGTCAGCAAGCGATTGCCGAGATAATTCGTGTATTAAAGAAAATTTGCACTTCAACTTTAATAGCGGCCGTGATGGAGGATATTTTTCCTGCAAAGAGCCTCTTCGACATTGCAAATTTTATCTTCGCGTTTGTCATTCACCGTCCCGACGGTTTACATTTGAATGGTCGTTTCACCGCTACGACACGAACGCCAACCATATTAGAAACAGCGAATACTCCTTTCTTTATGGATCACTCGCGCTTGGCATGTGCTCGATAGGAAACGGAAATTAAATGAGGATCGTTCGGACCTGTCCGTATAACGGAAATGAAAATCTGGAAAATCTGGTGTGAATGGAAGAAGCGGACGAGCTTTTGAGATGGGGTAGAGAAATGGTACGAAGAGAGGAATCGAGCAGGGAAAAATGTTGATTATTAATATTTCAATATTCCGTCAGAGAAATAATTCCCTGAAAAATTACTCGTTTATTACGTATTTCAATTAAGCATTTTAATTCAGTGAATAATGTTTTCAGCTGATTTCCACATTTACGTAACAAATAAGAATTTTAATTCTTTTCGTATATCTACTATAATTTATTGTAGCACAATATTAATAACTGCATTTGTAAATAATATTCAATTTGTACCGTTTCAAATTGCGTATACTGCTAGTAAAATACAACGCGACCGAAAATCAATTTTTATATAACATTATTTTTAACAATACATATTTAAACGACAGACATAAAAAAGATCTGACAAAATTAGTCATGCATATTGCAATTATTTCTTATCGGTGAAAAAAATAACATATAGATATACTTTTAATGATCGAAAGAAACATTGACATTCAAATGAACTGAAGTAAAATATATATCGTTATGTGTGACACTTACTGTTCCAGCTCCAGGATCGGGAATTTTGCACGGCAGAACTGCCGTGGTACCACTTTGAGCAAGCACCTCTCCAATTGGTCCTTCAAGAACATCACGAACATCTTCATTTTTACCCTCCGGGACATTCAATGGGGCGATTGCATTATTGGCACTTGAGTTCTGCTGATGCTTCGCCTGGCTCACTGCGGACATAAATTACAACAATGCTTTCTGAAGATAGAAGAAAACCATTTTGCTCGATCCAAGTAACATCTGTGTATGACATGTCGTATCAACAAATTAATATTACTAACAATCTTTTTCGTCGCCGTAAACTCTAAATCTGAAAATTGGTTTCAGATAGTTATAATATATTATATATTTGTTACACTATATACGACATATTTTCAAGATATTTTCCACGTAAAGAAATCGCTTTTAATCTATATAAAAAATCTTAAAAATATTCTAAATCTTATTTTACTTCTCTACGCAATTGTAAAACTAATTGTAAAGTGTGTCAGTATGTCATGTCGTGGTTACAATAATAATTTTATATAAAAAATTCTTTGGAAATATATAAATATTGTAAAAATAGGAGCTCTCTCTCTTTATATATATATGGGTGCATTCGGGGAGCACGCTATTAGCACAATTATCGTCCAAAACTGTTCGAGAAGACGCTTTGTGGCGCTGTGATATACGATGATGACGTCACTCTAAAGGCAGCGTGACGTCATCACTCGCGCTATTTTTGCTATTATATTTTCGAGGTGAGGCACGAAATGCTATTGGCGTTTAAGCTGCGTTCGGGGAGCTTGCTATCGCTATCGCGCTATTGGCTCCTCGAACGAAGTTCATAGCGTTTGCGTTTATAGCGTTAATAGCGTCTCCTCGCGAATGCACCCTATGTATATTATAAGAATAAATTAATTTAAACTTAATTGTAAGATATATGTTTACCCGTACTTTAATAAGTAGTAAATTATTACACAGCATATATAAATTATTGCTACTATAATCAAAAATATTATCCTGTCGTTCGTATCAAGATTAGCTGCAATCGCTAATAGTACATCTGTCAAAATAATATAAAGATATTAGTACTTAATAAAAAATAATATAAAGACATTAGTATTCCCTGGATAGACCTTTACCTGTAAAGAATGGTGGAATGACCGAAAAGATGATTATCGAATACATTTTGGTTTAATTGCGACTTGAAATAACTGACTTGAATTTCGAAAGTTTCTAGACTCTAGACTACGCAACAGACCAAACGACAATGATTTCAAATGTAGAGAACGAGGACGTAAATAAGGACTGAGCCCTAAATCTGCTCTTTAATGCGACCTTTTTCTTTTAATCTTTCTTTTACTCAGACCTTAGCGCAGATTGCAGAACAAGATTGATTAATTAAAGTCTCCCAGAAGATTCAATTAAATGAAAATTACGAAAGTGCTATAATAAAATGGGAGAAATCACGCCACGTGTTTTCTCGTACATCTAGCAAAGTTCCACGCTCATAATATCTGTCTCTCCTATGAGGGCTATTAGTTCTAAGGCCGGCTATGATCAAGAATTAAGAGCGATTTCCATGGTTGACGAAGGGCGCGGCGCAGGGAATGTGGAAGACGACGGAGCACCCTCCTGCTCCGAGATTAATGCAGCCACCATCGCGAGGATAACGCATAACCCGAGCGTCGCCCAAGTGGCTTAAGTGAATAACTTAGTCATGGCAATTACGATGGTTCAGTTGGACGTTTACCGGTGCCCAAGATGCGCCAAACCGCGGCGAATTCCCGCAGATATTCAACCGGAAACTTTCTTGCATTGTGGCTCGCCTCCTGCTTGTCTCTGGGCACATCTCAAACTTTCCCGATAAAAAAAAAGAATCTTCCGCCAGAATTTTATCCGCGAGCGTCTTTTTCATGCAAGATTTTCAACTGGCAAATATCCAGCTGGAAAGCCTTTATTTCTGTTCAACGAGTTGAAAGCCCGAGCTCGAAACTTGACGCCTTGCGCCAACGATGCAAAGTTCGCTTTTAAAACGTTGCGATATACACGCCGCGCCACGTGAACGTTTATGGCAATATTTTTGTTTAGTTGCAGTTCTTCTTACACAATAGTACGCAACTATAATTCGGCTTTTACGTAAGTTATATTAGACAAATGCGTTTGCGAATGACAAATATAATCTTTATGATCTAATTTTATTCTAATTCAGCAAATTAAATATTTATATACTTTAATAATATACTTTCTAATTAAGAAAATGCATTAATATCAATAACAGAATTTTCTCTTTGATCGTTATAAGTAAAACCTATCAATCCAATTACGCAATACCATCATATTACCATCATATTATTTCTCTTTTTCTCCATTTGCAAATTTCAATAATTTACACGTTTAAAAGACTCTATTTAGCTAATTGCATCGTAACAAGATTTCACTTTACACTTATGCACATTTATACAAAAGATTGTGGCTCTTGTAAATTGATTTTTAGACACTAATTGATCATGATAAGTCAATTTGTTAAATAATATTCATTACATTAAACATTACATTTTCATTTAATTTTTATTATATACAATTAGATATTGTTGGAATATGAAACAAAATATAAAATGTGTGTGTATTTCCCATAATAGATATATATGAAACAAGAAAAGAACCATTATAAACACATAATTTATGTTTTATTAATACCCATCTCAATTAATTTACGTAATGTAATGAACGACGAGTTCAGCCTCTTTTTCATGCAAGTTAGAAAAAGCTCGATCGATGGATAGCACGGAATCTTTGTGCATGAGCGTGTTCTGCATTTGTCGTTAATAATATAAAAGGCTGTTACAGGCTAGTTACAGGCTAGTCTCTCTATGTTGATCAGCGTAGCACGTATCTCACTTGAATTTTCTCGTCGAAATGAATTAACATCGTAGCCACCGTCAGTATTTAGTATCTCAAAGTGATTATTCGCCAGAAATTATCGCGGGAAAAATACTCGAATTCTCTCCGCGACTAGAATTAATAAAGAAAGAAAAGAAAGAGCGGTTAAACGAATGAAACCCTGAGGGCTTATTAAAGTAGATATCCCTACTTTGTAAAAAAATTATAGAGATTTTCACATCATGTAATAAAAGAATATTATATTAAATATTAGATTAATTTTAATAAAATATAAAATTTAAGAATAAGTAATATATTATAATTAAAACTAAATACTTTTACATTAAAAATATTTTATTCCAATTTATAACGCGCAATTTATAAACACGAAAATAATTTATTAGTAATGCAATAAAAGTTAACACTCCATAATAAAAATATTTAAATATAAATCTTGCCGTGCGTTAAAATATTACTAAATTCCCGCTCGCGTATTTATTTTACCGACTAACTGAATATATGGCTATTCAACATTCACAAACTCAATTTTACTATTTTCCTGAAATATCTCTTTCCATATGAACATCTAGAATTATCCATGCATAACTGTGAAAATATTTAATTGCGGTATGATATAAATCTCTCGATATAAATCTTTGAAGTATATAAGTTTTAATACTTAAAGCTGTATCTACAAGCTGTGACGCGATGTATTCTCGTCAATAATACATAATAAAGTAGAAAATAATTAGCACGAATGGGTATATTAAATCTTATAAACGCCTTGTCGTTAACTTGAGCAAAGACAAAGTAAAATGGGTTGGTGCAATTTTCTAAATTAAATTTACCGGTGATTAGTATTCGCACATAGTGGAAGATTAATCTAGCACAATTTCGGAAAGTTTGCCGAATCGGGAATCGTAAAACGGCTCGGTAATAGGGGCCGATGTGCATTTAATTAAACTTTCAATTAGATCTAAAGCTTTGGAGGTGTTACGGCGACGACCTAAATTCGCAGTACCGCATCGTCTCGTTCGGAAATGAGGCGTTCTGTGAATTTGTCCGGTTGGTATATATATCAGCGCCGACAGCTTTGCTGTCCCGAGAAGAAGGGAATCATGACG